CCTCTCGGGATCTTGGGCACGCACGCACACGCGCCCGGCGTGAGTTTTAAGCCACCGGGTCCGGGACTTGAACCACGGTCGACTACATGGGAGTCCAGCAACATAGCCACTACGCTAACTGCTGGTCCCAAGACTTTTTTTTTTTTTAAGTTTACTTTTCATTTATTTCTTCCATGAGTGAGACAGACACAGAAAGAGAGACAGAGACTGCACCCCCCGTGGGCTCTTCCACTCCGACCGCCCAGTCCCCAGCTGTATCCAGGCTGAGTCTGTGACAAGGATGAGAGTTTACGTCGCTCCCGGGGTCAGGGGCAGACCAGGGCTTGGGCTCCGGCTGAGTCCAGGAATGTCAGCTCTGACTGTGTCAACTGTGTCAGAGGGACCCCCCGTGGCCCCGAGGGGACTTCTCTCTGCCTTGAGTGCCCCTATGGCGCCCTGGGTGTCTGGGCTGGCGCCGCTGGGACCTGACAGCAGTGGGCGTTGGGGGGCGCAGGATTGAGTTCTCTGTGCCAAGCAGAGACAGCCAAGCCCCAGCCTCCTCCTCTCTGCCCTGCCCCGCCCTCCTCCAGGCCGCAACGTGAGCCGCAGCTGCACCCACGAGGGCTGGACGCCCCTGGAGCCTGGCCCCTACCCTCTTGCCTGTGGCTTAGATGACAAGGCATCGAGCTTGGACGAGGTGGGCCTCCGCGCACCCCTACCCCAGAGCACCTCGACCCCCCCAGGCACCTTTCACCCTCCCCTGCCAAAGGGCGAGGTTGCTGTCAGGGTGGGAGCCAGGACAGCCTCCTCAAGCTTCCTCACTCTCCTGGCCTACCTCCAGGGGGTCACATGCTTAGGCTCCCCCGACAGGGTGCAGGGGATGCTTGCACCAGGGCAGCACACAGGACGAGGCCTCCAAACCAGCAGCAGCTGTAGCCAACCCCTGCCTCGTGGGAGCTTGCTCCAGCCCTAGAGGTGGCAGGGCAGGCAGATACCATTGTCCTTGTCGTGTCTCGAGGGCACGTGGGGTGCAGGTCCTGGAAGGAACCAGCCTCAGACATCCAACAGCTAGCGAGACAGGGACAGAGACAGGGCCTGTTGTCCTCGGTCCCAGAACAGGGCAGTGCCCTTGAGCAGTAAAGCATCGGTGGGCTCTGCAAGGATTTGCCAGGAGCCACTTAGGGTTGCTGGTGGGGGGGCTGATGCATAACGAGTCCTTAGCTAGGAGCTCCTCACGGCATTGGGGTTCAAGCCCATGTGTATACCTGTCTGTCAGTCTGTGATGACACCTGCCCTGCCCCCAGACACCCTTCTCAGGCAGGGTTTTCACTCTTCCCGAGGGGGCAGCAAGTTCTTCAGAGGCCTTGGAAGCCCTTGGGAGCCCTAGGCCCTCATCCTCCTAAATCCCTCCTAACCACGTGCCTCTACCCAGGGCTGTGCGGCAGGTGGAGAGGAAGGAAGGCCTTACACAGAGTCTGTCCCTCTGTACGTGTGTCCATGAGACAAACATCAGGGAAAGGGGGCCAAGCAAGGAGCCTGGGGCCTAGCTCTGTCCCACCTCCCCCAGAAAGCCCAGATGGCCCTCGGCCTGCCACCTCCAGCACCTGAGAGCCCCACGTGGGATTTGGCCTCACCACCATCATCGCTGTTCCCTGTGTATTTCCCCCTCAGACAGAGGCCCTCACGTGGGGTCCTCGGTGCCCTAGGCTGCTGAAGCCAGAGCTGGCACAGAGGCTGCTGCACGTGGCCGAAGAGTGAGCCATGAGTGCCCAGCACGTGTGGGCTTTTGTGCTTTCCCTCACAAAGGAGCACAGAGAGGGAGTGAATCCAACCCCCGCCCCACCCAGGCAGAGTCCTGTCCTGTCTGTGGGGTGTCAGAGGACTGAGGGGTGCCACTCAGCTACCTGCGAGCACTGGGCCTCAGCCTCCTCCTCCACCTAGGCAGGGTGGGAAGGAGTGTGTAGGGCCCCCCCCCTCCACCAACACCCCCGAGGTGAGCCCTCCTTACCAACCCCACCAAGATCCTCGCCCACCTCCCTCCAGCAGCAGCAGACAATGTTCTACAGTTCCGTGAAGA